GGGGGGGGGGTCGGTATATGTATACATTGCAAATGCAGCTTTGACATATTCAATCCATCTAGCGAACGTCACAATCAAACTGGGAAGTCATCGGAAATGGCCCTTATCGGCGACACCTCAGACTGAGCACGTTAAGTAAAAACTTTTGAGGAGTGCGTTCAGTGAACTGTGCAGTTTGTCAAAAGACATACTCCAAATTGTGCTTTAAGAAACGCCTTTACAAAACACATTAATCTTTACCCCAGTCTCCCAAAGACACTTCGACTTGTGTACTTTTTCTTTGGCATGTGAACAGTCATTAAACTATTCATATTATACTGAAGTGCACTTCATATTTCTTTTTCCTTGTTCGGATGCTAGCAAAGCGCAGGTGATAATCGTGCTCGTTTTTCTGGTGTTTTCTATAGTATTCATTTTTGTTCAAATAAATATATATTACTGTCATGAAAGTTAAGGATCAGAATTACTCCTTAATCCTGAGAGAAATTCAGCATAAATTATTACCGTTCGCCATCACATCAATTGCCGGCTCCGTTTTAATCACACACTCCATTCGTATAGAGGGCCTCAACACAATGCGTAAAGCGTTTATTTTTTCTTTGCTTGAGTTCCATAACTTTTCAAAACTGCCGTATATTTTTCACACCTTCGCCAAAATAAATGACAGGTTCTTTTTAGAGAAATTTTGGTGTTTGCTGGTATTTTACCCCCACCCCCACCCCCAATTCCTCAATCTCTCTCTCTCTCTCTCTCTCTCTCTCTCTCTTATCAAAAGCAATATTTTCCTTTGATATTGCAGTTTTGGACAAGGCTGTGTGTTTTGTTTGGATTGTTCTTATTTTATTTTTGGGTTTTCTATTTTCTATTTCCATTATTTTTCTGTTTCTCGCACCTCCATTAGGCTAATACCGACCGCTGTTAAGTCGCAGAGTGTTGAGGAGAGGCGAACTGCATGACTGGTCTGCCCCTCTTTCATGTTGATAAAACTAAAGCCAGTTCTATCTAAACGAATATCACACTATCTCTGGCCGGTCGCTAACACACGCTGTCTCGCTGTAGGGCTTTATCACCGCCAGAATTATGGGAATGCACTCGGAAAATAAGGGAAAATGTATGGACTTTTTCGTTTCTTTCCGCAGAATGGAAAACTGCGAAGAAGTTTTCTGACTCGTGGTTTGTGCTTTGTATAACAAAACGGGGCATTTATAGAAGCAAAGCTGTCTATGTACGTGTGAAGTGGAGAAAGATTTGATACATTCGAAGACGAAAAAGCAAGGAAATTGCGGTACAGATTTCAAAACAGCGAGTACTTTGTGCTATTTTCAAAACTCGACTTGTTAAAAAGGTTTTATCGTTTATCTCGCACTGCTTGCTCCCCCGGCGTTCCAGATCACAAAATTCACTCACTCATCCCCTTCTGTATCTCTATTATCGTTGGGCGGTAGGTTGGTGCCCTCAGATCCTAGTTTGCTCCTCTGTCTTTCTACAGGTCAATGAACATCACACATTTCTTCAGTTGCCTTTTATAATTTGGTTAATGCCCCTCATTATGGTGCAATAGTGGTGACCGTGTTGTCCTGTCTACATTCACTTCTACTTCTACTTTTTCCTTTTACTACTTTTTATCAGCTGTTTTATCGCGTCTCTAACCTTTATTTGTCCACGCATTATTACTATAATAGCCCCCTCCCCAAAACCAGTCTAACTTCACCTCCGCTCGCTCGCTCTCTCTCTCTCTCTCTCTCTCTCTCTCTCTCTCTCTCTCTCTCTCTCTCTCTCTCTCTCTCT